CATGCATGGTTTGTACCTCAGTGTGGGTGATGTGGCAAATGTGGGGGAACCTGCATGGTTTGTACCTCAGTGTGGGTGATGTGGCAACATGTGGATAAACCTGCATGGTTGGTACCTCAGTGTGAGTGATGTGGCAACATGTGGATGAACCTTTATGGTTGGTACCTCAGTGTGGGTGATGTGGCAAATGTGGGGGAACCTGCATGGTTTGTACCTCAGTATGGGTGATGTGGCAACATGTGGATAAACCTGCTTGGTTGGTACCTCAGTGTGAGTGATGTGGCAACATGTAGATGAACCTTCATGGTTGGTAGCTCAGTGTGAGTGATGTGGCAACATGTGGGTGAACCTGCAGGGTTTGTACCTCAGTGTGGATGATGTGGCAACATGTGGATAAACCTGCATGGTTGGTACCTCAGTGTGAGTGATGTGGCAACATGTGGGTGAACCTTTATGGTTGGTACCTCAGTGTGGGTGATGTGGCAACATGTGGGTGAACCTGCAGGGTTTGTACCTCAGTGTGGGTGATGTGGCAACATGTGGATAAACCTTCATGGTTGGTACCTCAGTGTGAGTGATGTGGCAACATGTGGGTGAACCTTTATGGTTGGTACCTCAGTGTGGGTGATGTGGCAACATGTGGGTGAACCTGCAGGGTTTGTACCTCAGTGTGGATGATGTGGCAATATGTGGATAAACCTTCATGGTTGGTACCTCAGTGTGAGTGATGTGGCAACATGTGGGTGAACCTTTATGGTTGGTACCTCAGTGTGGGTGATGTGGCAACATGTGGGTGAACCTGCATGGCTTGTACCTCAGTGTAAACGATGTGGCAACATGTGGATAAACCTTCATGGTTGGTACCTCAGTGTGAGTGATGTGGCAACATGTGGGTGAACCTTTATGGTTGGTATCTCAGTGTGGGTGGTGTGGCAACATGTGGGTGAACCTTTATGGTTGGTATCTCAGTGTGGGTGGTGTGGCAACATGTGGGTGAACCTTTATGGTTGGTATCTCAGTGTGGGTGGTGTGGCAACATGTGGATGAACCTTTATGGTTGGTATCTCAGTGTGGGTGGTGTGGCAACATGTGGGTGAACCTTTATGGTTGGTATCTCAGTGTGGGTGGTGTGGCAAGATGTGGATGAACCTTTATGGTTGGTATCTCAGTGTGGGTGGTGTGGCAACATGTGGGTGAACCTTTATGGTTGGTATCTCAGTGTGGGTGGTGTGGCAACATGTGGGTGAACCTTTATGGTTGGTATCTCAGTGTGGGTGGTGTGGCAACATGTGGATGAACCTTCATGGTTGGTACCTCAGTGTGGGTGATGTGGCAACATGTGGGTGAACCTTCATGGTTGGTACCTCAGTGTGGGTGATGTGGCAACATGTGGATGAACGTCCATGATTGGATTTTTTCTTATTTCCGGTGAATATTTGTTCTTCTGACTTTTGACCCGAAAAGCGGTTCCCACTGGCAAGCACTGGTATCAGGGTGCGGTATTTAGCACCTTCGGGTGTTGCCCCTGTCAAAGAGAAGTTGGTAGCTGAGGTGTTTAGCATCTTGCGGTGAGTTAGCTGTCAGACATAGATTGTCGTGTTCGGTGTTTAGATCTGCGGTGAGTTCGATGTCAGCCAGAGATTTAAGGAAGGCGTTTAACCACTACGGTGCGCGCGCCCCCTTGCCGAACAAGGGACCTTCGGGTCTCTGTGGAACCACTGCAAAGTGCGCAAATCCCGCTACAATTGAGTGGGAACTCACGGGACTCTTTGATTCGAGACCTGCTCTTGAGATCTAAAAGAAGGAAGCAAGAAGCACGCACTTGGGTTGGAGTCGTTGTCAATGACGCGAATGAAAGAGAGAAGCTCGACAGTTAAAACATCACAGTGCAATGAGTTCCGTTCCGAGCCACGTTGACCGGCGGTGGACACGTAGGGGGAAAAAATAATTTGGTTGACCAGCCACACCCAGCACCTTTCACGGTGTTAAAATGGTGGACCATTATTATTTCAAGCTTAACACACCTTGTTATACTGCTTCATTACTTTTCACACAATAAGATGCCCTACCCTAGAAAAACAGATCCATTGTGGAAACTGGGTCGCCGACGCCAGAGTATGGTGCCCCATATGAGAACGGGAACACTGCCCTAAAAATTCTTAGTTTTTCAAGGCTCGACCAAAAAAAGGGGACCCGATTTGCTGGTATTGCACACTGGCCCCAGAGGCTGTTACGACCCCCTTTTGACTTCGTACCCCCAACCTTGAGACCAGGGTGATAAGAGAGTCCTGCGTTAAATAAAAGTGTTGTCTGACAAGGCCTAACAGATGGCGCCGGCAGCTACGGTAATAGTCGGGGGTTTTAAAGAACGAAAGCTCACTCCACCCACCTAGACATGTTAAGTTAGATATTTAGAATATGCAATGAACCATTCATATAAATTTGGAGTTTTTATTGTTAAAATATTAGTTTTGTCTACGAGACACGTAAACCAAGCTAACAATCCGTTTTAAATTAAAATGGGAAATAACTGTTTGGCTAATAATAATTAAAAACATTTTATTTGGTAATCGTTCTTTGTACTTGGTCGCCTAAATTGACTTCGTTTATTGAAACTATGGTTCATCTTATTCTTGCAGCTATTGAATTCATTTTTTAAATTACAATAAAAATTAAAATACAAGTTTAAAAGAACATGATGAAGTATTGACTCAGCTGAATAACACATTTCTGCAATTGCTCTATGTTTGTACATTTTTTCTTGGTTTCTTTTTTTTTTCAAATGTTTGACATCCGGGTACGAAGAACGGTCTCTTCATTTACTCAACAAATATTACATTTAGTTAAGCCTGTGTCTGAAACTGTTTGGCTTGCTCGCGAAAGTCGTGTTAAATGACTATTTGATTAGAGTGTTCAATTGATTGTTCAATGGCTTAAATGTAAATAAACTGTTTGATGGTTAACTGAAAGAAGTGCTGGGTGACTTTTGATATGACGTGTTGAATAAAACATTGGGTTAATGTTTAAATGACTTATTGAATGAACTGTGTGATGACTTTTTGGATGACTTATGGAATGAAATCTGGGATGATTTTTTTGGATTACTTATGGAATGAAATCTAGGATGACTTTTTGGATTAGTTATGGAATGAAATCTAGGTTGACTTTTTGGATTACTTATGGAATGAAATCTAGGATGACTTTTTGGATTACTTATGGAATGAAATCTAAGATGACTTTTTGGATTACTTATGGAATGAAATCTAAGATGACTTTTTGGATTAGTTATGGAATGAAATCTAGAATGACTTTTTAAATGACGCAGTGAATGAATGTATGTGGGGTTTGTATTTTGTTTGTTTTATGCTTTTTTTTTTTGACGGAAATAGTAGCTTCATCAGTGAATGGTTAATTGGATATATCTCATAAATTGTTTGTTTAACAGACAAACCCAAAAAAAAAGCAAAGTCCTTTTCGGGAGGGATGTCTCAGAGTTTTGGTATATCAGAGTTTGGGATGTCCCAGATTTAATGACGCCCTGGGTAGACTTTGATTCCCTTTTTCTTGCCCCCCCCCTTTTCCCGCACTCACGACAACCACCAAAAATAAAAAACATTCGATATTGGCCTACCCACAAAAAAAACTTAAGCCATATATCAAATTTTTAACCACTATTAAATCTCGGTGCACTGAACACTTAAAGAACCTGTTTTCCGTGGAAGACAGAAATTTGATTTTGTTTACACAAACAAAACGCTGAACTCTGACCCCACGGCCTTTGCCACAAAACTTTTTTTTTCCGCGAGAAAGTGGGTCATTTAGTTTTTCAATATTTTAAGTGTTTGCATCATATTCCCTTTCAATAGATAAAAAATAATTATTTGGCAAAAAAAATAATAAATTAGAAGAATTTTCAAGTTGGTACGCGGCTTGTTGGTTTAGATATAAATTGATGGAATTTTTTAATTGTACCTTGGCATAGTAAATATCGATTAAATTCCTCTCCAACAAACAGAGTGGTGTTAAGAAGTCTTAGCGCATAAGTAGTTAACACATTTTCTAACCCTAGGTATTCATAAAAACATCTCTACAACCAAGTAAAAAAAAAATCAGATGTAAAGAGCGGTAACTCTAACTAATATTCTTGTCGAATGTTAATTTGACTCAGTTTTTCCCTCTCACAAATCATTGCTCATCTCTCTCTCTCTCTCTCTCTCTCTCTCTCTCTCTCTCTCTCTCTCTCTCTCTCTCTTTTTCTCTCTCTCTCTTTTTCAAATATTTTTATCCACTCTTTTTTTTTCTCACTCTATCTAATATTCTTGTCGCATGTTTATTTGTCTCAGTTTTTCTCTCTCACACATCATTTCTCATCTCTCTCTCTCTCTCTCTCTCTCTCTCTCTCTCTCTCTCTCTCTCTCTCTCTCTCTTATACTCTATCGCTCTTTCAAAAATCGTTATAACCCCAATCTTTTTCTCTCTCCTTATCTCCGTCTCTTCCTATCTAACTCCCTATCTACCTCACTTTCCCTCTTACTCCCCTAAACTCTCAATATCTATCCCTTCCTCTCACTCTCCCTCCCTCTCTATACCTCTATCTACCTCACTCTACCTCTTTCCTCTCACTCCCCAAAATCTCATACTCTATCCCTCTCTCTCTGTCTCTCCCTGTATCCATTTCACTCCCTTTCCCTCACTCTCTCGCCGCCTCTCTCCATACCTCTCTCACTATACCCATCTCTCTGTCCCTCAATCCCTCTGTCCCAATCCCTCTCTCTATACCTCTCGCTCCCTATTTCACCCACCCTCTCTCTATCTCTCTCTCTGCGTATCCCTCTCACCCTCCTGACGTTTCCCATACCCGGGTCACCAGCTGGACAACACCTGGTGACATCGTGTGCAGGTAACGGGAGACAATTTGAAGATAAAACTTCGGTAGACAAACCCAGACTTCACACAAACACTCTCTTATGTGGCGTCACTGTGGAATAGCTGGCATTTTCATTGTGTATCAGCTCAGGCCCAGAGCGTGTGTTGTTTTATCTATTCACTTTTTTAACCGACAGTTCTCACAGCTTGAACTTCGATTTGCGTATTGAAATATTTTAAACAATTATTTAAAGCCACATTATAATTGTTTATATAATTTATATAGAATTTTTACTAAATCCGCATAGTTTATTTAATTTTTTTTTACCTCTTTACTATTGACCATGGATTTTTATACCTTGTACCCGGACCTCAGGTAGTCCACATCGCATTACTCTGTAAAAGTGCACTTCAGGTGGGTACGTTATTTCTTAACCGATTTCGTCTTTTACCTTGTAAACTTGAGTTTATTTTTTTTAAAAATAAATTAATTCAAGGCAGTAATAGTTAACTAAAATTAAATTGTACATCGCTGAATTCTCTTTTTACGGTATTCGATGTCTAAAATGTCGTTGAACAACCCGAGTGGTGCATACGGTAGCTCTCAATTATCTCTCAATTATTTATATTTTCACCCTATTTTCACTCAAATAAGTTGGTATGGTAAATGAAATTTTCAAACTGAAGGCAATATTCACAATAACTAAACAAGTATTTAAATTTATGTCAAATTATACTAAAATATTTGTTTTATATATATTATTTTAGCTGCTACTTGATAAATATGTCGTTTCCGATGGTCTTAGGCGACCCCTGTGAATGGGTCGTTCGAACCCCCCCCCCCCAGGGGGCGGTGCCCTCCAGGTGGGGAACAGGGGTTAAAAAAAAAATACGCGGTGGGGACGGTGCCGCAGGTGGGGGGGGGGGGGGGGGGGGTTGCGAGAAGACCCAGAAGATGAGGTTTATTTGCATTTTTATTAAAAGACTTGTTTATTGAAGTCGTCTCAGCCCACAGCGGGCGGTTCGGTAAAGAATTTTGTTATCGTGATGAGGTTCGGGGCATGTTTAGAAATCAAGATGTTGTGTACCCTTGCTAAAAAAAAAGATTATGAACTCCTGCTCCAAAACTAGCGCATTCTGGTTTCCATTGTCAAACGATTCGGAACGGAAATAATCCTGTTTTTAATGGAGTGACCTCGTAACGCCATAGAGACAACGAATCCGCGTGACCTGGGCGAGAACCGTCCGCGGTTTCGTACAAAAGAGACGGAAATATAGAGAGACGGGAATAAATAAATAGAGCACCGGTGGGATCTCTTACTTTGTCGACTGGAATACTTGGGCTTGAGGTCAGCATAGCACAACGTTCAAACGGATTGTACTTTTCATCTCGATGTGTTATTGTTGTTTTGTTTGTTTCGTTCTTGTTGTTTATCTCTCTCTCTCTCTCTCTCTCTCTCTCTCTCTCTCTCTCTCTCTCTCTCTCTCTCTCTACATATATATATATATATATATATATATATATATATATATATATATTTTTTAATTTGATAACTTTCTGCTTTTAACAAAATAAAAATCGAAAATCTTAAAAACATCGTCCCTCACTGCGTCTTTCAGTGTTTCCCCCTCCCTCCCCCACCCCCACCCCCTTTTAGGGCGCATGCAAGCGGAAGCCCCGCCCGGGGCAAAAATACTGAAATTAGGTACACTATAACACAATATATTTATATGACACATTTGAGCATGAACAATAACGATTTTGATTTACTCTTTAAACGCCCCCCCTCCCTTTTTCACACGGTCTTGGCCCTCTCGGCCGCCCACCCCCCTCCCCCAATAGCCTCCTAGTGAATCTGTCATTGTCTTCTTTCTCCACCATCACCCCCATCTCCCCCCCTCCCACAACCTCTAACACAACCTTTTGACGTTACAGGTGGACGTCACGTATTTTTTTTTTTTTTTTTTTTTTTTTTTTTTTTTTTTTTTTTTTTTTTTTTTTTTTTTTTTTTTTGAAATAACTAATCTCAAACTTGATTTGTATCTTCATTCAACTCGAAAATACACACACACTCCATGTATAACGTGTTCGTTTTTCGCTTCACTGTTATTAAAATAATAGAGACAATAACGTCAAGTCAATAAAAATATATTTTTTTATTTTTTTTCTTGTTTAAATCGTTCATAATGTTGTCGACGTTTAGGTGAGCATTCCGTTTTTATGTTCTCTTTGGCGTCATAGGGTTGACGGTGATTCTAAACACGAATGATCCACCATGACTAAAAGGAAGGGCCTGTTCCTGATACTTCTCCTTCTGGGTTTGGTCGTCTGTGTGAAGGCAAGTTCCTTTTTTTTTTTTCCTTCGTTTGGTTTAACAGTGTTGTTGTTTTTCCACATTTAAATCTCTTAAGCTGGTAAGTTTGTTGTTTTTGTAGCGTTTTGATTGACTTGAGATATTAAATTGACTATTATGTGGATATATTTTCAATGCCATTTGTTTTTTTCTCCCAGTATTTTAAGGATGTTCCTATAAGTTTATGGGCACATAGTCTCGAGGACCTACAACCGAGCTGGGTAAAATTACACCCCCTTACTCAACGCTTAAAGAGGCAGCCTTTTACTCAACCGTTAGAACTACAGCCTCTTGCTACACCGTTGAAGCTGCAGCCCCTCAATGCCCAGCAAGAGTTAAAGCCCCCTGCTCAGGTGCTAAAATTACCCACGATTTACAGCGAAGGAAAAAGAAGCGGAAACCGGAAGTTGGAGGACGCCATTTTAAAAACGCCCACTTCCGAAAAGAAAGATTTTAGTTTTCGGATAAACGATACGGCATCAAAGGGGATACACGATCCTAAAAATAGAACCTACGTCATTCAGCTTTTGGTGAAGGCCCTGAGAGGTAAACTCTCCTTGGCCCACGCCACGGAGAACATCACCGGCATCAACACCAAATGCCGTGATCTAAAAATAGAGCACGTGGACAATTGTAGCGTCACGGCTGTCTCACCGTCGTGCCCACAAAGACATTTACCGGAGAGGTTGGAGGCGAGAATCGAACAGCTGGTGTTCCGAGACGAGCTCCAGATATCCGAGAAGTATCGTGGCGTCATCAAAGCCATGAGCGGCGAGCTGTCCGGGGCCCATGACGTCATCTTCGTTAGCGGTCTCTCGTCCAATCATTATAAGGAAGCACAGGTACATACGGAATATATGTGGGAGCTAGCAGAAGTTGCTGTACCTTAAATATATTCTAATGGGGCTTAATCGAGGGGCAGTTAGTTTGTTGTTGTTTTTTACACCAGGTCCGATTGTTTTGAGAAGTAGGCCTACAAACTGTCCTACACCCTAATCTATGGTGTTCGTCAGTCGGACCACTTTAATCATCAGAGTTTGTGCTGGTTCTGTCTATGGGTGCGCTGATGACTAATGAGGCCGATTCTGGCACGAAATTCTCTTGTACAGTAGGTGCAGGGAAAGGATGGCGCATCTCAGGAAGCAGAGTCAGACCGCGCCTTCCTGGCATGGCTCTTGCGCTCTGCAGCCGCTGTTCTGCCAACTTCATGTTGCATGGGGCTCCCGTGCAAAGTGGAACGCCATGAAGTTCAATCCTTTCCTTATTCTTCCTACGCGTCTGGGTTTATGTGGAACGTTTTCAGTGAGGCTTATATGTTGTCTTTAAAGCGTTTTTTCTGTCCGCCAGCAGACCGCTTCCCTCGTTCAAGCTCTCTATAGAAAAGTATTTTGGGAAGACGGTCATCTGAAATTCTCACACAATGTCCATCCCAGCGAACTAGGATTTCATCAAGATTGTGAAGATGCTGGGGAGACCTGCCCGTGTGAGCACCCTAATATTCACCTTATTGAAGATGAACTTTCTGATCATAATGAGGAAACCGCAACTTAAGATGTATAGTTAAAATAAAAGGATGTAGTGGCACACCTCATTGCACGGAAGATCTAAACGCTTTTGACATTGACCGAGGACATAATACATTTTTTTAAAAGATGATTTGACATTTCTGTCATTCATTAAATTGACTGGAATGATGCATGTCGTCTGTTGTTTATTGATTACTGACATGTCATCTATTGATTATTCATTACTGCTTGGTGATCAATTGATTTTTTGCTTGTTTAATTGACCACTCTCTTCTCAGTTCTAATCAGTCGGCCTATAGACATTTCCACAGCACAGAGACGGCTCTCTTGAGAGTGACCAATGACCTCTTGCTCGCATTGGACAGTGATGATATATCCATCCTGATCCTCTTAGACCTCAGTGCGGCCTTTGACACTGTTGACCATGTAATCCTTTTCAAAACCCTTGAAAATTACTTTGGAATTTCTGGTTCAGTTTTGACTTGGTTTAGGTCCTACCTCTCTGATATAACGCAGGCGGTCTCTGTCGATGGCTGTCTATCAGGCAGTGCTGATTTGGTGTACGGAGTACCACAGGGGTCCGTTTTAGGCCCGATTCTATTCACATTGTATACCAGACCACTGCTCCTCTTGCGTGGGAGGCATACTGTTGAGAGCCAGTCATTTGCAGATGACATGCAGCTATACAAACATACCCATCCTTCTCTTGTTGAATCCGCTGTCCAGACTTTGCGGGGGTGCATTGATGATGTCAAGTCATGGATGACACTCAGCAAGTTGAAGCTTAATAATGCAAAACGGAAGCACTCCTCATGCACAATCACACATTATCCTCTACCTCAACTCTTCCTACCTCATTTCAAGTAGTTAACTCTGACGTACGGTTTACACACTCTGCTAGGAATCTTGGTTATATTCTTTCTAACAACATGTCTCTCGATAAACACATATCTCACATTTGTCGTTCAGCATACACCACTATCCGTCAGATCACCTCCATACGCCACTACCTCACAGTTAGTGCTACAAAAACTATAGTCTGTGCTCTTGTTCTCTCTCGTCTTGACTATTGCAACTCTCTTCTGTCAGGTTCACCAAAATACTGCATAGAAAAACTGCAGAAAGTTCAAAACTCGGCTGCTAGGTTAGTTTTAAAGGCAAAAAAACGTGATCACGTCACTCCACTACTCCATTCCCTTCATTGGCTACCTATACAGGCACGCATTGACTACAAGTTGTCTGTTCTCTGTCACAACTTTTTCTTGGATTCCTGCCCTTCCTATCTAACCGAACTTCTTTCTGTCTATTCACCCCTTCGACAGCTTCGCTCCTCTGCAGACACGCGTATTCTGTCCGTTCCCAAGACACACACTAAAACATATGGTGAACGATCTTTCTCTTTCTGCGCCCCCAAACAATGGAATTCTTTGCCACTACACATACGCAATATACCAATCCCCCATGCCTTCAAAACTGCACTCAAAACATATCTTTTTAAATTATACTACCCTGACTGATTCCCCTTCTATGACCGATAAACGATCTTGCTGGCTGCCGTCCATGGTTTGCCTTGTAAAAGTTATGTGGTGGGGTGGGTGAGTATACATTGCTGTTCTATATTTCATAAATGTATTTTATTTTAATGTCATGATTATGTCTCTTTTGATAAAAATGTTATGCACAGCGTGGTGAGCCAAGCCCTAGGCTGGGGTACCGCGCTATATAAGACCTCTTATTATTATTATTATTATTATTATTATTATTATTATTATTATTATTATTATTATTATTATTTATTGCTGATGTGTAATCTATTTATTATTGATTATTGTGTCATCTATTGATTATTGACTACTGATATGTCATCTATCGATTATTGAATAGTCATATGTCATCTACTGATGATCGATTACTTATATGTCATCTATTGATTATTGATTACTGATGCTATGAACACAAGTTCAGATTAATCCACCCCGTGTCTTGTAGGCGCTGATAAGACACGTTCATGAGAAGATCTTGCCCGTGTTCAAGAACTTGACGTTCGTAGTTTACAACTTGGGACTCACTGAATGGGAGGCTGGTCAGGTCAAGAAGTACTGCAGGTCAGTGGGAGGGTGGCAGTTTTAGTTTACTGTACAAGTTTTAAACTATCTTACTATTTATTAGTTTACTATACATCTTTATTTTTTAATTTGTCTTCATTTTCATATTAGTTTAGAAAACTTGTTTCATATTGTTTGATATTACTTTTTGTGCAGAGAAAAAAATACCTTACTTGGTTAAGTAGGTGTAATTTTTCCTCAGCACTGCTCCCATCTAATTTCGTATGTATGTTTCTAAACATTTCAGTTAACTTGTATCTAAGAGCGCTCCTTTGATTCCCGCTAAAACGGCATGTTTACCTTCCACTTCAGGTGTACTTTCCTCAGCTTCCCCTTCCATCTGTTACCGCCACACTATAAAACCCTGAAATGTTTTTCCTTCAAGCCGACCATCATACGAGCCATGTACGAGAGGGCCGATGTCGTCATTTGGTCGGACACGTCTCTCAGGTGAACTCTCTAACCTTTTACACTCATTCAGTGAAACGATATTAGCACGAGAGTAGGATACACTTTTTAAAAAGCTTGTTTTTTTTTGTTTTTTTTTATTTTTTTTTTTTGAAAACTTGAATTGAGTGGGGGTTTGCTTGTCGCAGAGTGGGGTTTGCTTGTCGCAGAGTGGGGTTTGCTTGTCTCAGAGTGGGGTTTGCTTGTCTCAGAGTGGGGTTTGCTTGTCGCAGAGTGGGGTTTACTTGTCGCAGAGTGGGGTTTGCTTGTCGCAGAGTGGGGTTTGCTTGTCGCAGAATAGGGTTTGCTTGTCGCAGAGTGGGGTTTACTTGTCGCAGAGTGGGGTTTGCTTGTCGCAGAGTGGGAGTGGGGTTTGCTTGTCGCAGAATAGGGTTTGCTTGTCGCAGAGTGGGGTTTACTTGTCGCAGAGTGGGGTTTGCTTGTCGCAGAGTGGGGTTTGCTTGTCGCAGAATAGGGTTTGCTTATCGCATTGTGGGGTTTGCTTGTCGCAGAGTGGGATTTGCCTGTCGCAGAGTGGGGTTTGCTTGTCGCAGAGTGGGGTTTGCTTGTCGCAGAGTGGGGTTTGCCTGTCGCAGAGTGGGGTTTGCTTGTCGCAGAGTGGGGTTTGCTTGTCGCAGAGTGGGATTTGCCTGTCGCAGAGTGGGGTTTGCTTGTCGCGGAGTGGAGTTTGGTTGTTGTGGAGTTGGGGGGGGGGTGGTTCTTTGAATGTGGTTTCTTTGTCATGGTGTAGGTTTTGTTTGTCGTGGTTTAAGGGTTGTTTGCATTTAAGTGGTGTTTATAGTCGTGCTGTAGGGTTTTGTTGTTGTTGTTTGTTTGTTTGTTTTTTTTTTGTCGTTGAGTGCGGTTTATTAATTACGAGAAATGGTGAACCATGCAAAAATTGCACGTAATGTTTTCTTTAGTGAGTTGACATCAAGCTTAATAAAATGGAAAAGTACGTGAGTGTTATAAGCGAGGCAGTTAGCATCAATAGAGTGCAGTCAGCTTTAGTGGAGACGTCCCCGGATTACAGTAGAGATATATTTACCAAGCAACAAAAGAACGTTCAGTGAGATGCAGTAATTTATTAAGGGATTAAATGTCAATGATTAAAATATGAGTTATTACATTTAAGCGTTCCACCAGCAAAGTTTGGGAAATGCAAATAGGAAATTGAAGAATGTTTCGGCATGCGGTGCTATTTTACACTTGAAGATTTTACACAAGGCCCCTGTGCCGTTTCATTGGATGCGGAAAACTGCTTGTCGCTACCGTTTCGAAAATGTTAAACAATTTTATATTACCGCCTTTTATATATCAGCCAATCGAGTATCCGACTAAAGGGTTGCATACCATAGAAATAACCCTCGAAGCAACGTCCCATCCACTCAAGTTATTTGACAAAACATGCATTCAAGTAACTCACTTCATATCCATCCCAATGCGGGCTAACTTCATGGGAAATTTTATAATTGGCCCGAAATTTCGAACACACCGTTTCAGCCCTACATGCACACCTAGAGAATGTGTAACCTGTGATTAATTGGCACTTTGAGACCAGGCGTCGGGGCAAGTTTCAGCAATGTAGATTTGCTCGAAGGGAAAAAAAAAAAAAAAAAAAAAACTAAGCGGTTGAACGTGATACCCCAAAAAAAAAAAGAACAAACTAAAAAATATAAAGAAAACAAAGGGGCGCTTTGTTCGCACGACATTTAACTTTGAGACCAGGCGTCGGGGCAAGTTTCAGCAATGTAGATTTGCTCGAAGGGAAAAAAAAAAAAAAAAAAAAACTAAGCGGTTGAACGTGATACCCCAAAAAAAAAAAGAACAAACTAAAAAATATAAAGAAAACAAAGGGGCGCTTTGTTCGCACGACATTTGTAACCACCAACGTACCCACCAACGACAGACTTACCCCCCGACGCTTCGGCCCTCGCCTGACTGACAGGAATTGAATGTAAACAGTGAATCGAGTTATTTATAGACATATAAGGGACTGCGTTCAAGCCGGGTGGACGTGAATAAAAAAAAATGACTTCATTTCTTTAACCGCCTGTAACCTCCTAGTTAACGCAAGCTTCATGGTATTATGGACAACCTCCCAGTGACTTCTACAACTTCCCGTGACCTCTAAAATTTATACGTGGCTTCTTCAACTTTCCGTGACTTCTACAGCTTATACGTGACTTCTACAACTTATACGTGACTTCTACAAATTATACGTGACTTCTACAACTTATACGTGACTTCTACAACTTCCCGTGACTTCTACAACCTATACGTGACTTCAACAACTTGCCGTGACTTCTACAACTTATACGTGACTTCTACAACTTGCCGTGACTTCTACAACTTATACGTGACTTCTACAACTTACCGTGACTTCTATAACCTCCCTTGAATTCTACAATCCCCCTTGACTTCTACAACCTCCCTTGACTTCTACAAACTAGCTAGACTTCTACAACCTCCCTTGACTTCTACAAACTAGCTAGACTTCTACAACCCCCCTTGACTTCTACAACCTCGCTAGACTTCTACAACCTCCCTTGACTTCTACAACCTCCCTTGACTTCTACTACTGCCTGTAACTTCTTCAATTTCCCGTGACTTTTACATCTTCTCGTGACTTCTACAACTTCACGTGACTTCAGTATTGTTCCTGCATCTGGCCAGCTAAGTTCTGATTTTTCTCTTTCTCTTTTCGTTTGCCGAAACGTTCTCTTTCTCGATCTGTATTTTTCATTCAAGCGTTGAGATATCCCAAGCTACCATTTTCCCCTATAGATGTATAGCCTTTAGATCAGTGGTTCCCAACCTTCCTAATGTCGCGACCCTTTAATACAGTTCTTCATGTTTGGTGACTCAAAAAAAAAAAAAAAAAAAAAAAAAAAAAAAAACGTTTCTACTTCATAAATATGTGTTTTCTGATGGTTTTAGGTGACACCTGGTTGAGAACCGCTGCTTTAGATCGAGGGCTATAAATTTAATCCGAGAGTACAGATGGGTGTGTGTGTGGGGGGGGAGGGAGAGGGAGAATAATTGTTCAGATGAGTAAGAACAAAAGTCATTACGTTATAATCTAGAGTTAACAAATGTTTACATCTCCTCCCCAAGCTCTCAAATCTTCACACGTTTACAGGATGCAAGAACCTGGGGCCTTGAAGCTCATGGTTGACGGGGCAATCGAGCGAGGCATACAGCAACGCTATTTGACGACAAACTATCCCAACCCGTCACACACACTTGGCCAGGTAAACGTTTCTTCTAATGTCTTTTCTCCACTCAATTTCAGCAAGGTTCTGTAACACGCTCTCAGTTTGGGTCTGTAACATGCTCTCAGTAAGGGCATGTAACCCGCTCTAAGTAAGGGCCTGTAACCCACTCTCAGTAAGGGCCTGTAACCCACTCTCAGTAAGGGCCTGTAACCCACTCTCAGTAAGGGCCTGTAACCCACTCAGTAAGGGCCTGTAACCCACTCTCAGTAAGGTTGATTCGTCACATAAACTCTTGTCACGTTAATTCTTTGTTACGCCAAAGTCAATATCATTAAGACAGAATACAGAGTAATGTATTTTCAAGACATAAAATCAAATGTAATCTACTCAATTAACAGCTTTTAATTGTGTTCACGCTAACAATAAAATAATACATTTGGTGTCACCTTAAGAAAAACGTAAAAATGTATAATTCTCTACATTCACGTCCAGATGTTTCACCATTTCGGGGACTCGCCTTGCGCACATATGGCGTTTAACCAGGTGGTTGGCGGATTCGGTATCTACCATAGGTAAGCTCTCTCTCTACTCTCCTAGAGTTTTATCTGATATAAGTCTCAAAATGTATGATGAAGTTTTGGTATTCTAGAGTGCGTCTGTATTAACCCGTACAATCCAATGTTGATGTTTTGATCTCCAGGGAGCCTCTTATAGAAAGGGCCGTCCTTGACCCCTGGCTAGCCTGCGCCCTGAGTGCCGAATGCATGTGTCCAGTGGACCAGCGAAAGGTCCAGTCGTGTCCGTACCCGTGGGGGACCAAAAAGATTGGACTGTGCCACCGTGCTGACCAGTCCGCCATGACGCTCATCCTGGCCAAACTGTTCCGTGAGAAGTACCGCCATTTTGTGGTGGACTTCAACAGACACCAGACGAGATCCGGGAATGACCCTGTCAACTACTTTGACATTTTGGACAAGGTTGAGACCGTAACTAATGGAACTCATTAACGGTAACATTTGGGAGCCTCATTGGGGTAAACGTTGACAAAAGTTACAAAATCTTATTTTCTGCAAGATCTAACATTTGATATGTCAAAGAACTAGATTTTTAGATCTCAAAGTACTAAATGCAAAATGTCAAAGTATTAAATGCAACATGTTAAAGTAAAAATTTGTAACATGTCAACGTACTAAATGGTCACATGTAAAAAAAAATAAACACTTAACATGAACGTATTAGAAGCAAATGTGGTTCAGAAGGCAGTATATACCTTCTAATAAATAATGTTATCATTGACATCAATAAAAAAGAAAACATATATCGTTCGTTGGTAGCAAACATTAGCATCTGGTAAGATGGCAGATATATGGTCATTTAGTAGCAAACATTAGCATCTGGTAAGATGACAGATATATGGTCATTTAGTAGCAAACATGACAGCTCCCAGTCAGCAGCGGAGTAAAACGGGGTTGTGTACTGGCACTAACGCTCTTCTCCATTTCCTTCTCGATGCTCCTTCAATTTGCTTTCAGGGATTGTAATGATGAAGTGTACGTCCCAACCAGATCTGTTCAATAGCACCCACCTTCGTGCAAAGACCAAAGTAAAACAGGTGCTGATTCGTGAACTGCTGTTCGCTGACGATGCTGCCTTAATATCTCTCACAGAAGAAGATCTTCAGGGGCTGGTTAATTGTCTATCACACGCTTGAAAAGAGTTTGGAATTTCGATTAGTCTACAGAAAACTCATGTAATGATGCAAGAAGCACCGTCCCCTCCAATCATATCTATTGAGGGTCATAATCTTTCGGTTGTTGAGCATTTCACATACCTTGGATCCAATATTTCTATATATAGTTCTCTCTCCTTTGATGAAGAGATAAATATCAGGATCGCAAAAGCAGCAGCAACTATGGCTAAATTGAAGCCGGTGTGGAATAATCTCAATCTAACTGATGAAAGAAAAATAAGTGTCTTTTAGGCATGTGTGCTTAGTACGCTCCTATATGGTAGCGAAGAGTGGGCCGCATATACCAGGCAGGAGCGGAAACTCAACAGCTTCCATCAAAGATGTCTGCGTCGCATTTTGCGCATTCGTTGGCAGGACAAAGTGGCTAACGTGGATGTTTTGGAACGTGCACACATGTTTAGCATACTCTCCTTTCTTAGCAAGAGGCGCCTTCGCTGGTTAGGCCATGTAAGGAGAATGGAGGAAGGATGTATCCCAAAGATGCTGCTGTATGGAGAGTTGGCAGAGGGGATAAGACATATTGGACGGCCACGGCTGAGATTTATTGACGTTTGCAAACGAAGCATGAGGGAAGCCAATATTGAAACAAACGAATGGGAGTACATTGCCGAACATCGCTCCAACTGGCGAACAGCAGTGTTTGAAGGAGTAAAAAAGGTAGAAGATAGACAGATATGTAAACCTTTGAAATCTTGAAACTTCAAGATTTATTTATTTTTCTCAATAAATGAATTGAAATAAGAGGAAATAGTGGTACATTAGTATGTGGAAGCTTAAATGATGAAGGCAGGACAATAAAAGAAGAAGGTTTCGACTAAGAGCCTTCCTCGGCAGACAGGACAAATGAAGAAACAACAAGAGACAGAAAGTAAGTTGAAAAAGTTAAGTGTCCGCCCTTGATGTTATTGCCGGACGTTGGGTTTTCCGAAACCAAGATTACATGAGATGTAGGTTAAAATATGACACTTTGAGGACACGTTTATTGACAATTTTTGCCTCTCAATTCATAAATTCTTTTACTTCAATTGTCAATAAACGTGTCCTCAAAGTGTCATATTTTAACCTACATCTCATCTGCAAAATCGGTGTACATTCAACCTCCATCCCATCCACATTTGCATGACAATCAGTTTGTAAGCTTCGCGACTGGAAGGTGGAAGTTTACAACGCTTGTTGAAATAAAATGTATGTGGCTGTGGGAGATCAATCTTGTTGACTGTTTCTGTGGGAGGTCAGTCTTGTTTACTGTTTCTGTGGGAGATCAGTCTTGTTGACTGTTTCTGTTACGGTGCATGTTGTAGCTTCTCAAACTATTAGAAGCAAAATGTATTTATTTTATAATGTAACGGCGAGAAGGCACGTGTGATTTATTTCGTTATTTTCAACATTTGTATCTAATTCATGCGATTTTTTTTTCTAAAGCTGTGGCTGTGTAAATTTAATATTTTTCAGTAACATAAATTTTCAAGGGCTTTCAACTATCTCATTTTCATACTTAAGAAATTGCGCAAAATAGTAACACTTCATGGGTTCTTTAACCAACTAGCTAATAGTTTTATCCAGTTTTTACTCGAAACCGTTGGCTGAAGCAGTGATCCCGAAATTGCATAAGCCATGGCACACATTTCTTAACTCTGCCATCTACAAATGCGTTTCCAAGTGCTATTAACATTACCAAACAGGAACATATAACGGTGAGGAAAAAGCTTTCCTAATTTGTGCGCATGTCGCATAAGATTGAGTTCAAAGATCTTTGTGAATAGGGTCTTTCATTTCTAAGACCGGAAAACGTCACATACATAACGTAATGTTACTATTTTTAGACAATTTTTTCGTAAAACAAAGCTTCTAACAATGTATTTACGCATATATATATATATATATATATATATATATATATATATATATATATATATATATATATATANTATATATATATATATATGTAATATATATATATATATATATATATATATATATATATATGAAAGTATGTATGTATTTATGTATATGTAATACATCAGTAACAATTTGTAAAATCTTTCGTAAAATACAGTTGAAAACATGTTTTCGTCTAGACTCCACTATGACGGCTCACCTTAACTTTGAAGTACCCAACAGCTGTTGGGGGATCGGTCAAACGGAATACCATGATGTTTCATTAATATCTTCATGAGATTGGCCAAACTGTACGCCCGGATGTTCTCTTAATTGAATTCCGCCATTAAATGACAAACCCTATTGGATCAACTAACTGAACAGATGATCAATTTGAGTGTTGTAGTGGTGCATGTTGTGGTGGTGCGTGTTGTGGTGGCGCGTGTTTTCTATTATTTTGTTTTTACCATGATGTGCATTTAAAAAAGTTAAAACAACAGAATTAACAAGTGTGCAATTTTCCACAAGAACTTTTTTTATTACAAAATTACTATTACCTTATTATTATTATTATTATTTATTACATTTATTACCATTATAACTATTGCTATTGGTAGCAATATTCTTGTTGCTCTTGTTGTCGATGTTGTTGTTTTCTCGTATGTAAAACAAAAATCTTATAAACAAAACAAAACAAACAGAATTTCATAGTAATCATGAAAAAACAATTTAAAAGACCAAAATGCAGGATTTTCAGTAAATGCGATTAGTTATAAGATTCTATTTTTGACCCAAAGAATGGAAATGGGTTTTGATTTCAATGGAAATCTTAAAATTCTACATTAAGATAAAGTATCTCATTAAGAAAAAAGAATTAGATCTAACTAGAAAATGTAAACTAGAAAAAAATAAACTAAAAATATTAACTAGAAAAATTAAATTAGAAGATGTAAACTAGAAAAAAAAAACTAAAAATGTAAATTAAAATTTTTTTTTAAAAAACTAGAAAAAATAAACTGACAATTTTAACTATAAAAATTAAATTAGGAAATGTCCAATATAAAAAGTAAACTAACAATGTAAACTTTTAAAAAAATTGAATTGTAAACTAGAAAAATTAAACTATAAAATGTAAAATAGAAAAATTAAACTAGAAAAAGTAAACGTAACACATTTAAAGAATACCCCAAACGCAAGCTATCATATCAAATGAAACCTCACTTCTTTGGTGACAAAATAGACTAAGAGGAACTATTCAGATTATAGTCTATTTTCTATGTCAGCGGTTTCCGTATTCAATCACAAAAGGGGCAACCATTGTTTTATTTTGGCTCGAAGCACTGCATGCAAAAGTTGTTAATTTTAAACATATATCATTTTTTTATTTTCATTTTTTTTTTTTTTTTTTTTTTTTTTTTTTTTTTTTTTTTTTTTTTTTTTTTTTTTTTTTTTTTTTTTTGTATTTATTGAATTAATTTTTTTTTTATTTCATTTCTAATGATTATAATTTGTATTTTATTTTCGGGGAAACGAGGGTAATCAACTATCCCAAGGAGGTCCCATATCTTTGGGGCAATTGAAATACGGGGTCGTAAGTTGAAAACATGATGAGGAAGAAAATGGATTACAATATCCACGATTACCTATCAGATTACAGTCTCGTGATTTTCTTGAAATCCATTGACTATTGCAACTGAGCCATGTGTGGTTGGGTTTTTATTCTTTTCTAGCAAACACATCAGAGGGGTAGGGGTCGTACGAAAGGACGGAGGGGGGGGGGAGGGGGGGCGTGAAAATGGGGCACCCACGACGGCCCTGCACACGAACACAGCGTGTGAAGTTTATTTGATAAAAATGGATTACAATTTCCACGATTACCTATCAGTTTACAGTCTCGTTATTTTTTTGAAATCCTTTGACTATTGCAACTGAGCCATGTGTGGTTGGGTTTTTATTCTTTTCTAGCAAACACATCAGAGGGGTAGGGGTCGTACGAAAGGACGGAGGGGGGGGGGAGGAGGGGCGTGAAAATGGAGCACCCACGACGGCCCTGCACACGAACACAGCGTTTGAAGTTTATTTGATTCTGTTTAATTAGTTATTTATTTTTCGTTTTTTTACATCTGTTTGATCTAGAGACCGACCGAATTTCGGCTTTGGCTTCGGTTTCGGCGCCGAAAGTGGCCATGTTATCACTTTCGGCCGAGTTTCGGTTTCGGCCGAAACTGAAAAGCGATATTTAACAACAAACTAAGCGACATTTATGAACAAACTAAACGATCCTTAAAACAAACTAAGCGATCTTTAAGAACTATCTAAGCGATCTTTAATAACAAAATAAACGATCTTAAAGAACAAACGAAACGATTTTTAAGACCGAACTAAATGATCTTTAAGAACAAAACAAACGATCTTTAACAGAAAACTAAATGTTCTTTAGGAGCAAACTAAAGATCTTTAAGAACAAACTAAGCGATCTTTAAGGACAAACTAAACGATCTTTAACAACAAGCTAAGTGATCTTTAAGATTAAACTTAGCAATATTTTAGAACAAACTAAGCGATCTTTATGAACAAACTAAGCGATCTTTATGAACAAACTCACCGATCTTTAAGAACAAACTAGCCGTTCAATAACAACCAACTAAACGATCTTTAAAAACAAATTAAGCGATCTTTTAGAACCACACTTTTTAGAAACCCGGTTTAACAAAAAAATAGTTTGCATTAATTCCCCCCCACCCCAATTTTTGCCAAATTTTTTCCTACCATACTAATTTAAAAAAATTTGTAAAGCAATTTAAATTACTTTTATATTAAATGGTCAAATCCAAAGTATTCATTAGATCAAGGGTCTCAAACTCAAATCATCAGGGGGGGGGGCGCAGGAGGTGGTGTCTGAATGAGCCTGGGCCGCATCAAGTAATCCACACAAAAAGTGATTACAACTGTTACAATCTGCTCAACCTTTATAAATAAAAATAAAATCATTAAGGGTTCTCAAGAACTAGGATTAACTTCCATCCACCTTCTAACTGTTGCATACAAAAATATAGAGAAACATTTTTTTTTTTTAAATCAGAATTAGACTAATCGGTGAGATTAGACTGAAACCGTCGCGGAGAGTCACGTTATAGTTATGAGAATGGGGGAAACGGGCCGGCGCATTTACACTAAACTTTTTTGTCATGTAGCGGGCCGCAAAATATCCTCTAGCGGGTCACAAATGGCTCGCGGGTCGCACGTTTGAGACCCCAATATTAGATTTATTAATATTAATATTTATTAATATTCACGATTATGTCATTTTTTTATAAAAAGAATGTAAATATTTATACTTTCCCACATCATTTTCGATGTATGCAGAATGTAGGCGGAAACGAATTTCAAAATATCTTAACATTTCATTTTCGGTTTCGGCTTTGGTTTCGGCTTCGGTTTCGGACGAAATTCATTTTTAATTTTCGGCCTTTTTTCGGTTTCGGCCGAAAGTCATTTTTAAACTTTGGGCCTTTTTTCGGTTTCGGTCGAAAGTCATTTTAAGTTTTCGGCCTATTTTCGTCTTCGGCCAAAATCAGAAAATCACTTTCGGTCGGTCTCTAGTTTGATCTTCTTTCTTTTTTTTTAAGCAGTTCACCAACCAAATGTCTGAGTGCTTCATTATTAAAATTCGTTCCGCGGTCTACTTTCTTATAAATCATGTATTAATCTTAAGGTCACATTCAGGTTTTAATCTTTGCAACTCTCTTTGTTGGAGCGATTCGCTGGCGGGGTTTTGGGGGTGGGGGAGGGGATCACTTGGCGAGCTATGTCCCCTTTTTTTTTTGTTATAATTAGTACCCCACCCCCCTTTTTTATTTAAAAACCGCTGTCAGTTTAAATGATTGAAAGACAAAGGTCGGGTCTGGTCGTGTTGTGTGATGTTTTTTTTTTTAACATTCCTAAAGCCAAGTGTCTGTCGCTAGTTACCGTTCCCCAAAAAATTTGTTTGACTAAGTCCACACACCCTGTAAAAATTGTTTGACTAAGTCCACACACCTTTTAAAAATTGTTTGAAATAAGCCTCACAACCTCCTCTGGGCGGCGACAAACCCCGCAGCCCAGCCGCCGGCGATCGCAACCCCCCCCCCCCCCCACCCCCCCCCCCCCCAAAGCGGCGGCATGTCGGAGTTGGGTGTGGTCATTTACCCTTCTGACGGATCTCATAGATACGATGTTAATATATCTGCACCCTGGGATCTGCGTTGTTTAGGGTTAATGCCACCCGGGGGCGATCCAAGATTTTTTGCCGCCCCCTTCCACGAAAAAGCCTTGGCGTTGGCCAAAAATGCCAGCCCCCTCCCCCTCTTCCATGTCAAGGAAATGAAGTGCCGCCCGCGACGCAACGCACACCCTCCTTCCTACGCCACTGCTTGCAGCCATGTAGATTTAATCACATTCAGTGACCTACACAACCGGTCCCCCAATTTTTTTTAATTTAATTTTTCTACAGGATTGTGTTGATAATTTTTCCACGGATTAGAGGCCAGGACGTTTTTCATTGGGGGGGGGGGGGGGGGGGAATTATTTATGTGATTTAATTTATGTTTTCTAATAATGATAATAGAAAGAAAGTTATTTCCCAGCCTAGCTTAAGCCCACAAGACTAGAATTTATATTCAATATTTCTACATTATTTTGATAGTGCAATTTTNAGAGAGACATGTTGAACAGGAGACAGGAGGATTGTTATCAAGTGGACCACTGTGATGTTTTTGTTTGTTTGTTGTTGTTTTGTTGGGGTTTTTTTTTTGTTGTTTTTTTTTTTTTTTTTTTTAGGGTGTAATTTATTGTAACGCAGAATTTATTTCCCCTATTGGCAGTTTGATCTTTAAACTTCAAATGTCATGGCCGTCATTAAAAATCATTCTTCCAGATGGCTGCATGGACATTTTATTTTAAAGCTTTTTGGGTCAGTGTAAAACATTGACCTAGGGAAACGAAGGGGGTGGGGGCGCGGCAAACAATGTTTCAGGGGGCGCCAGGGGTTGCCAAAAATCAACAAAATCTCATAGGACTTTGAGTGTATCCCTAGCTGTAAAAGCAAATATTTCCTAAAGTACCCAGTATGCCTCAGGCGTTTATTTCATGCATGGTGATGACGCATTCAGAGAGAATGGCTGAATCATATATATTTTTTTTTTTTAAGTAACTAGGCTAAGCCGTGAACAGTAGTCAATTTCAAAACAAGAAGAAAAAAATGTATGCATTCTTTAAGAGACCAAGTTTGACTTTCATTTTATTTTGCTTTCATTTAGTTGTAGGCAAAGACTCCATTCACATGCAAGGACCTAATAGAATTTTAAACGGGTGGGTACGTGCCATAAGAGCCAAGTAGGCTAACTGATTACATTCAGCTGAATGGAGTACTGTAAACTCTTTACAATCCGCCACCATGGATATCGGAGTTGGGGGGGGGGGGGATACCGGTTAATTGAATGTCAAGACTGTCTGATCGTCACTTTTTTTTTTTAATTGCCATGTCAACTTTCACAAATGATATATTTTTTTTTAAACCCAATAAAATACACGATGCATTGCAGATAAAGTAGAGAGAAAAAAATTTTCTTCAATTTAATGATACTATTATTTTATCAACATAAGTATACTTTACCACTGACTAAATGCAGCATGAGAATTTGGTTCCTGTTTTTTTTTTAAACACCTGGTAAGTGGGGGGGTTTACTGTACAACGTCAAAGCAAATAGCGCACGTCCAAACGTCTAAAATTGAAATGATGGTCTGAGGCGGTTCAGTCTTATCAACACTCAGCGCATCTCATCCTTCCCGATTGAGAAGTGGGAGCATCAGTTACGGTAAATGAAACTCTTTTAAGCAATTGAAAAAAAAAAAAAAAACTAGGTTATAATATAGAGCAGTGTTTCTCAATGTGGGGGCCGACGCCCCACCGGGGGGGGGG